GTGTAGGACCGTTCTGTTTCATGCTTGTCAAGAAAGTTACTGTCACAGCATTAATGTCCCATGCATTACTTTCACGTGTTGTTGCAAACATTGAACTGGCACAAGCATCTCATCCTTTGGGTCAACAGTGTGGATCTTGTTGAAGTGAAGAGTAACTGTAAACAAGTCTCATCTGGTGATTGCTTAGTAGCCCAAAAGACAAGATGGACCTGTTTTTGGGGAGAGAGAGTGTGTGTGTGGGGGGGGGGGAATCAGTCTAATCTGGTGGGCTTCCACAGCATAAAACAGAAGAGCTTCAGTTGCCTCTTTGGTTGCCCATCTTAGACACAAGGGTTGCAGGAGCTGCAGACATAGTTCCCACGCTCCTCTCTAAAGGTAGGGCCCCTGGAAAGTAGGGCTGAAGGACACGGGTGAATAAATATGTGTAAGAAGCTTGTCCTGAGAACCGGTTTGCTGAGTAAATGGAGAACATTAGGCTTCAGAGCCAACCTTCCTCAGTGTGAAATTAATTTAAAAGAAAACTAAAACCAACCAAGCAAAATATAGAGAGGTTAAATATTGTCAATATTATTGGAAACAGGCTCTTGGATTACCTCCTATACAGTGCTGGATGTATTGTTACATAAGCCAAATGACTGAGAATAGCAACTCGGGATATGGAGATGAAACTTTATACTCAATTAAGTGGAGGTGGAACTTGCTGTGTGTCAAGCTAGTCTGTTGTAACTGTTTTATGTATTTGCTCCTATGGTAAGTAGGAGGTAAACTATCTAATTCATGGGCAAACTGCCCAGGATTAGCTTCCATTTACCCTGAGAGAGCAGACAGAAGAAAGAGTTACTAATGATCAACTGACACACAATCTTCCTCTCCACCCTTTTAAATTGGTGTAATTGTTTCATCTGTCCAAACCCTCATTCTAGATCAGCTTTATGCACAGTCATGTACTAAGTCAGGGGAAAGTCAAAGAAGTTAGTTTAAGCCTACAAAGGAAGAGCAGGAGGTGATTCATTAGCAAACATTTTAATAGTGAAAGGCGGTTAGGCAGAGAGGTGTATTTCACAGCTGACAGTGTCTTTAAGATACCCTTAGGGATGTTGTAATAGCTCATTTACATGATAAAGACTTACTGACACCTTATGGACAACTTGAAATGCAATTGATTTTGACAATTAGGTTTCTGTACCTTATATTGGAGGTATTTTAATTCCTCCTTTTTATTGCTGAGAGACATTAAACATGAAAACAGGAACTTGGATGCTGAAAAGCTCAGCTGCTGCTTCTGTTTATTCTCTGCCTACAGTTGCCATCTTCTGTTTGTGACGTCACACTTAGTGGGTATGAAAACACTCGTGACATCACAAGCTGCAGATTATGGCTTCAGGTGGGAATAAGATGTGGGAACAGATGGACCTACAACCTGTTTCCAGGCAAATATTCTCTATAATAATAAAGAAAAGAAAAAAACAAGCAATGAGAAGAGGCACAGGTTTTTCTTTGTTAAAAGGCAACTTTGCCTGACAGTTTGAATCTCAGATTTGCTGATGGATATGTTTACAGAAACTTAGGAGAAAACAGAAATGTTTTCCTGAGTTAAAACTATTCCATAAAAGTATGCTTTGGAGGCTATGGAGAAGGGTGGGGAGTGATTTCTGCACTATTTCTGTGATCTGATATATGCCTCAGTTTACCAGCCTCTTGACTGCATGGAATTTATAGCAAAGGAGTATTCTAGGGAGTGACAGCCAGGAAGCAAAGCAACTGCAGAAGACTTCTAGAGAACAAAGGCCCTGAAAGGCAGAGTAGGAAAGCTTTCTTGGGAGACAGGAGGGTGCTGGGAATGCCCACGTGCCTGTTCCAGCCAGGCTAATTTCCCAGGTCCAAGTACTGGATCTGAGGGATACTAAAACAATTAAAGACCCCTGCTTAGAGAGGAAGGGGGTGGGAAATGGCTGGAGGTGATGGAGTGAGTGAATGTGGCGGGGGCCACTTGCCCCTTCCAGTGCAGAGGCAGGGGTGCCTGGGCTAAGGGGTACTTAAAATTTGTAAGGAAGTAATAAAGTTTATGGGAGGTGATAGTGCCTTTGTATTTGGCACCAGTTTGGCCTCATCTAGAGTCCTGTTCAGTTCTGAGGTCCACATTTTAAAAAGGACATGGAGAAGTTAGACTGGTTCCAGAGGGTGACAACAATGATAAAGGGTTTGAAAGGAAGGCAAGTCATACAAGGAGAGGCTGAAGGAGCTAGGGATGTTCAGCTTGCAGAAAAGGTGCTTAAGACAGGATATGATGGCAGTCTTCAAATACCTGAAGGGCTGCCATAAAGGAGAGCAAATACCTCTTCTTTCTTGCTGCTGAGTGTAGGATGTGGACCAATGGCTTGAAGTAGCAGCAAAGTATGTTTGGATTGGATATTGGGAAGAACTTCACTGTAAGAGCCATGAGGCTGTGGAATAGACTGCCCAGAGCAGTTGTGGATTCTCCGTCACTGGAGGTGTTTAAGCAGAGATTGGACAGCCACTGGTCAGGGCTGATCTAGGTGTAGGTATTTCCCATGCTTCTGGGCTCTGCTGGTTGCTTCATGGGACTGGGAGGAGATTCTGCCCCAACCTGTACCCCTCTACCATGTATCAGGGTTTTTTTTTAAGTCTTCCTTAGAGGCACTGGGTGTTGGCTACAGCCAAGGCTGTAGACTTTGACTGTGGTGTGCCAGTGCTTCTGCTGGGACTTAAAAGCCAGAGGGTCCTGACCAGATGGTCTTGCCCTTCTGCTCAGGGTCAGACCACTTGCCATATTTGGGGTCAGGAAGGAATTTTATCATATGGGCAGATTGATGTGGGCTACAGGCGGTTTTGCCTTCTTCTGTAGCAAAGGGCATAGCCCTCTTCCTGGGGACGTGTGTGTGTGTGTGTGTATTAACAACCTTTACAGCAGCAAGGATGTTGGTAGTTGTGGTCCCCCTCTTTTACCTGTGGCAGGTTAGGGCGTTGTAAGGATTGACTGTGTAATTTTGCTAAGAGGTTAGACAGTGGATTTGTATAGGATGGTTTGAATAGGGATGATCCTGCCTCAGGCAGGGGGTTGGACTAGATGACCTATGGAGGTGCCTGCGAACCCTGCTTCTTGATGATTCCAGGTATAAATCATGCATGTAAGTCCTTGGGGTTATTTTAGCCTGTTTCTCTGACTCTGTTCCTATGACTCATAAATAATAGAGTTCTGAAAAGGCTAAACTGTATTGTAGCCTATGCTTCCTTATTACAAGCTCCCAGGAGAAAGCAACCTCCTGGGGATTATGCTAGATTGGCACCTGTGAGGGAAACAGTGGGAGGAAATGGGGTGCTGGAAAGTACAGACATTGTTCATGAATGGCAGAATTGTGGGACTCTGAGGGAAGGGGAGGCTCAAAGCCTGTCACTAGGAAGGGCATACTCATGAGAGACTTGTGAAGGGTGCAAGGCATAGCACAGCTGGGGACATAAGTAAAACTAAATTTGGGTCAGCTTTCCCACTGATTTGGTAGGGAACTGAGGAACAGCAGCCTTGGGCTCTTGACTAGAGGGTGCAATTGACTAGAAGCAGAAAATGAAATGGGAGGCTAGTGCCACTGCCCATGGCAACAGGCCAAAAGAAAAGAGGATTCAGTGGAAGGCAAGGACAAATAAACTGGATTTGTAAATGGCTTCCAGGTTTGCATAGTCAAAAGTGTCATTTAATAAAACGGGGAAAGGAACTGTCAGGGGGAAGAGGGAATGTTTCTTCTCCTTTTCCTCCCAGAGGTTTGTAATGATGTATAAGCATGTCTAACAATCTAGTTAGAGGATAACCTTAAGCCAGTTCTAAAATACCCCACTTAATACTAACAGTGACATAGTAGTTAATGTTTATATAATGAATTACATGCTCAAAACACTTTACAACCAGCATTCAATTAATGCAGTAAATAGGTGAGTATAGCTGCCATCCTCCTCATTTTATAGGGAAACAGAGTGGGAAGCTAAGTGATTTGCCCAGTGGTCTCTCCCCCCCAGTTGAGCCAGTGGTAGAACTGACAACTCTCCTTTTGATTTCACAGCTCCTGGTCTCATGCTAGCCACTAAACCAAGCTGCCTCTCAGTTGTGTGGGGTCATAAATTAGAATTGCAAAGCTTTTGCCTCACTTTTCCCTGATGATAAGAAGGCCGAGAGATTCCTCATTTGTTGATTTGAGATTATCACTTCCCTCTTTGCCTCCTTCCAAAAGATCTCAACTTTTCAATACAGCAAGCACAAATTGCTTGGTTTCTTTTTTAAAGCCCTACTTTTCATTGAGACATCAACCTTGCAGTCTGGCTTTGCCAACACTTCTTAAACCCTACCTACTTCAAGATGCTTCCTGATCTCTTGACAATGGTTGGGTAGCTGGTGTGCTGTGAATAGCACAATAAGCAGCAATCGTATCTGATTCACCGTTACTTTGTGCATCCTGTGTCTCTCTTGTTTCATTTCCTGGTGTCTCTTCTATTAAGCTTATCATAACACCTTTGAGGCTGATGATCATTTTCTTAGGGGTGTACAGCTTCTAACACAATGAAGCCCTAATCTTCTAGACATGCTACAGTGTAAATAACAATGAGGGAGATATAACAATAATAATAGTAATAATAATAATGAGGTTAGAGCTGCTTGTGTATACCTGCCTGTTGATTCCTAAGGCACAGAGGAGAAATGACTCTCAGGATCCATGATGCTCTGAGTACTGGAGCACATTCCTCCCACACGCAGACAGAAACTACCAAGCTTGGTTTATTAGAGTTGCTTGCTTCAACAGGGGTCATTTGCCATCTGATCAACATGAATCCTGAGCTCTTGTTGGCAGGTAGAAGGAAGTGCTTGGATGACTTGGAACTTCTAGCCATGGCTGCTTGAGATTACTCGTTCTGTTCCCTTCCTGCTACTCGCGTAGTAATGATTCCTACTTTGTATCTCTGCAGTGGTCATTGGCATGGCCAGACGGGCCTTGAAAATTTTCTCTTTGGCAGCAGCTACCTCCGGTGTCTACCTGTATGGCAACAAGTATGTGGATCCCAATGATTTTGGAATCATTCGAGTGGGCAGAGCCATTGCCACAGTAAGTTTCACCCTAGCAGCAGTGTGGGAGGGACAGAACGAAAGGTTTGCTGATTGGAGAAAGGGAAATTCTTGGGAAGGAAATGGGAGTTCACAGGGGTCAGGGGTGGAATTTAGTTTGTTCTTTTGCTATATTTCAAGTTTACATTAGCATCTGGCTCCGGGACTTTGCGTGTTTCTGTGGGGTGTTCCTAGAGCCTGAGGAAGAAGTAAAAACAAGGAAGGGAATGGAGGGTAATTGTCTGTGAAGCAGAGGGAGCCTGTACCTTATGGAGGAGCCTTCCAGGTCAGTATTGCTGGGAGCACACTCATGTTGCTGTGTGGCTTTCCTTATGCACTGTCTCCCCTCCACTTAGAACTCAGTACTGTGCATTTTCCCACTGCTGCTTCTGGTAACTTTACTTTTAAATCTCTGTTGCTTTAGGCTATTTCTTATACAGTAACAGATTTTTTTAAAGGATTGTACAGTAGCTGCGCAAATACTGTGTTGAGGCCTGACCTGTGATCTTTACCCTAAGTCCTCAGTGTTAAAAATTGGGGGAAGGAGAAGAGATGTCTGAGCATGTATGTTTGTATGGTGATATTCTTGGGGTAAGGGTGAGGTGGGAACAGCACTCACACTTCACAAGGTTTGATTTATTTCTCTTGCGTTTCTAAAACAAGTCCAAAGAGACCTACTAGCTCCATTTGGGTGTCTCCTTTGGTTTCAGCTTGTTGATCTCAGTATCTAGACACTTGAGAGCTGTGGCTGACAGCCAGAGAGGCTGTGACCCTCTGCACAAGAGCTCTCCAATGAATTCATTAAGCACATAGTAACAAGGTAGATCAGATCCTGTGGAGGGGATTGGTCTGCCCTGCACCTTGGTTGTGTTATGTGGCTGTCACTTCAGCCCAGGATCTCCATCACTTATAGGTTCCTGGTGCTACAATACTGTTGGCTTGCATATCCTGGACCCTTTAAACATTGTGTCAGTGAGAATTACAAGGGGGCCTGTGCTGCTGGAGGAAACAGGTTCATGGAATGTGGCTTAAGATCTATTACATTCAGGCTGGTGCAGAAAATAAAGTGAGTATTGGCTGAGGTCTGAGAGGGTGTTTGTTTTGGAAATGCAAGGTGGGAACGTTGACTGTTACCACCCTTTTAAAAATAAAGCTAAATGAAGCACTTCCTACCTGGTTGTTTCATAGGGCTGCATGATTGCTACTGATTTTCTGTATTACCACCATCCCCTGTGTTGGGGACATATCTTCATTTTACTGAGGTACCGAGAAGTGACCAGTCCAAGGCCCCCACTGACATCCTGGTCAAGCTGTTGTAACCCAGGAGTCTGTTGCCTTTAGTCTCAATCTGCTTGGTCAGTTTTTCTCAATATGAAAAGAGTGGCTAATACTGTAGTCCTATTTTTTTAAAGGATTAGAAAGTGTTTTTCAAGAAGAGGGAGCCTCAGTTGCATCTCATTTATGATAGTTGCTTAGAGTTTGAGGGGTTGGCTGATTGTTCAGGTATGTCCTTTGCTAGGAGTTTTTTGATTTACAAGTGTCTGACCAAGGCCAGACTGAAGGACTTTGGCTTCACCATGACATAGAGCACACTGTAGCGTCATCCCTGCCCTCTGGCTTTGCCCTAGTGAGGGGCCACCCTTCTCTCTCAGGGGAAAGAGACAGCATTAGAGGACCCTCAGTAATTCTGTGCGTGGATGGGTCAAGTATGCCCCTTGCCTTCCCCCCAGGAAGCCATGTGCTGCCAGGGTCCTCCAGAGCAATGGGTGTTCGTATGAACACCCTACTGCAGTGGGCTTCAGACTTTTTAAGTAGATCACGTTTGGCATTTAAAAGCAACCCAAGATTTACTGTGCGCTGCTGCCACTCCCCACCCCTCACCCAGCAGCTGTCTGTGGGGAGGAAAGGGAGGGGGCAGATCAAGGCAGAGGGAGAAAAAAATATTTGGGAGTGTGCGTCCCCAGCAGGCAAGTCCCACCTGGCCAGGGCCCCATTCAGCTTACCCCTGCTTCTGCCTCTGTGGCACTGTCCCTCACCGCAGGGGCCTTGATTTAGCTCCTGCCCCTTTCCTTCCCCACAGACTGACCTGCTGGGCTGGGGCATGTGTGCATGCATGCATGCACTCAGCCCCCCACCCCAGCCTTGGATAGACTCCAAGAGACTCTGAGATCTATTGCAAGAAGCTCCGAGATCTCTCGGTGGATCAGGATCCACTGATTGGTGACCACTGCCCTACTAAGATGCACAGGCCTGTTTGGGCTCCAGGCTGCATGCTGACTCAGCTCATGTCACTGCATTAGTTCACTCTTGTCTTACTTCTAAGCATTTCCCCACAGCCCTGAAGGATAGATAATTACTGTCTTTTTAATGAAAGCTTAGTTGTCTGTAAACATTTGACTCCTGGAGCTGGTGGCCTAGATAGAGACCTGTTGTGCCTATCCCTTCATTCAGTACTGGGTAGACTATTTAATGGGTCAGTAGGGTCCCATAATCATTTTTGGGTGTCTCCAGTCATGATAGATGAGCCTTAAATGCTCAAATATTATCCAAAGACGTACACAAACGCCTGGATACTTGACTTTACCTGCTGGACCCCATCCAGCCACATGCAGGCTGTATTTAGAGGGTTTTGTTTTTTTCCCATGGGCTTGGGAGTAACAGCTGCAAAAATGGAGGGAGAAAAAAGCTATGGAAAGTGGGGGAAGTTGGTGGGAGGGGGGGGAAGACATGGAGACCAAATATTCTTAAACTTGTAGCCATGTTTGCTCTGAATTTTGCTTGCAGGTTTGATTCAGTTTATATTTTATCCCCACTGACTCAGCTGTCCCTTGTAAAATGTCCTCGTGGGCATTTCTGATATGCCCAGGGGGAAGTTCTATTTGTCCCCAGATTTAGGGAATTTGATTTTGCTTGTGTGTGAGGCCCAGCGGAAAGTGCAGGGATACTCAAGGACAGGGATTTTGAGTGGAAACATTGGTTCAGGAGATGGTGTGGTCAGTCAAGGGAGGTATGAGTTAAGGAACTGAATGATGTTTCTTGGGATGTTTAAAAACAGACTTTAAAAGGTCCTCTTGAGGACAGTGCTGCATTGATAATGTGGGCACTGGGTGATCTCAAGGGTCTCTTTATGTCTGTGAAGATTGGCTCCAACTTAGAACCCAGAGGCCAGAGAACCAGTCTTTGATGCAAGTGAGGTTCTCTTTATGTCCAGATAACAGTAGGTCTTGGTGTCTGTATTCTGGATAGCCTTAAAAATTAAGCATCTCTGCTTCAATTTGGCTGTTCCTTTCCAAGGGCCGGTTGCTGCCTCTTCCTCTTTGGAGTATGTCAGGTTAACATCCTCTGCTTTAGCTTAAGTGCATCTCAGACACTGGAGGAGATTTAGCAATGTCAGAGTTGCCTATCAGGATCATCGTAGTACTAATTTAGTGTTCAAGATTACAATGTAATTAGCAGTTGCTTAATTAATTCCTTCTTCCCCTATAATGCAGATCAATCTGTTTAGCTGTTTCTTTTCAAGTTGGAGGTGATAATTACCATCATGGACCAGAGATAAAACCAAAACCAACTGAAACCTTCATCCAAGGCTGATTGGAACCTCCCTGTACCCTAAAGCCATTTTTTAAAGTTGGAAAATGCTTGGTAAATGCTTTTTTCCAATATTTTTCACAGCCCTCTGCAGCTCCTGGCTTTAACAGGGACAAGAAGGGCTGAAAAGCCAAGAGGCTTTTCCCACCCAGTTTCCAGCTTAAGGAACAGGAAACAGCTGAAACCTCAGCTCTACAGGGAGAGGACACAAGCTTGTTTGTGCTTGATCCCTAGCCTAGAGGACGGGTGATTTGAATTTTAGCTTGTCCTAATCTTTCATTACTCCCCAGCTCTTTGTTTTCAGTGGCTTTCTTTCTAACATGGTCACGACACTGGTTTCCTTGCCTCCAGACTTGCATGGAAGGGTATGTTGACTGTACACAGACCTGTTTGTTGTTTTATCCCAGCAAAACCAGAAACAAACACGGGTTTGGGATTGAGGGTTTTGGAAATATGATTTTAGATCTGAAATATTTACTGGTCCCAGGGGTCTTGAAATCCAAATGGAAATTCTGTAGCACATGTTCATCTCTGTTGCCTAAAACTTCATAAAACTTAATGTTTTCACCCCCATTTCTGTCCTTGCTAATCTGTAGTAACTGCTTGTGTGAATGCTGTTATTCCACAGTAGGTGGAAGTTGAAGTGCAGCACTTTAGTTTTCTTTCATGGCAAGTTAGTGTGGAGTAACTTTCACTTACCATGAGGTGAAAGATGAAAGGAGCTATCTAGATTTTTTTTCTCAGTGCACTGGTGGTCAGTCAGTGCAGGAGGTATGAATGGGTAAATGGCTAACCATGGTGGAAGAACTATGGATGGTTCAGCTGTGTGTATGTATATTGTTTATGGAAGTACCAGCAAAGAATGGGGCATTGTTCTGCTAGGTGCTGTACATACATGGAGTAGGAGATGGTGTGAATGGAAAGAAAAACAGGGGAATGGAAGGGAAAGGGAATGGAAGACTAGTGAAGAGGCAGGGCAGAGGAACGAAGAGAGGAAGAGGAGTGAAACTGAAAGAACTAAAGGGAAGAGAAGGAAGACATTTTGACAACTGATCAGAGCAGACTAAAGAGAATCCACGCCACACTGCAGGAAATTCTTTGAACAGCAGAAATCCCAGCCACAGTTGTTACTCCTCTGCTGTGTTCCTAGCTCTGTGACACTGGACTTTTTTCTGTACTATGTACTTCCCTTCCCCACCCTTCAGACAATGGGAATAATCCTTCTAGGGAAGCTGTGAAAATTAGTAAATATATGTAAAATACTTTGAGTTCTTGGAACGGAAGATAGAAGATACAAAAGTAGTGGATGTTATTCACATTTAATTTCACCATGTTAGTGTTTCCTGCATGACAGGGAAGTTTTCAATTAATGTTCTTTGGAAGAGAGATTCTTATGTGTATTAGTTTTCATTCATCATGAACCTAATATGATGAATGGTTATTTTTTATTTTATTGTATTTTATACCCTTTTATTTTAAACCCAAATTTAGAGTCTAAAGCTAGAGTCCCTTGTTGTCTTGGTCAGAGGTTATTATAGGATTTTCATGTTGTGTATGCTTTGGTTTTCAGACGGCTGTTATAACCTATGACTACCTCACTTCCCTCCGGGGTGTCCCGCATGGATCAGAGGAGTATGACTATGTCAAATCACAGGTAAGGCCACCACAGATCAGGGGCTTTGCTCCTCAGGTACTCAGCAGAGAGAGAGCGAGTTCTGTCAAAAGCAAGACTCCAGAACAAGTCAGTGAAATCTTGGCTTGATTGATCAGCCTCTGCACCTTAACACATGGATTCTCAGTGGTGCCAGCAGTAGAAAGAAACTGCTTTGAACAGGAAAAAGGACTCCGCTAGTAAAAAGAATTACCTGTCTGCCAGATGGGAAAGATGAGCTATTTGGGCCAACCACCCCTAACCCACACCAGCGTACATCCATCAGGGTCTGGTCTGGACATACCGAGAGGAAGCATGTTTGAGTCTCCCATCAAGATGCCACCCTGATTGGTCAGGTGGAGGCAGCTCACTTGTTGGAGGAGTGGGAAGACAGGTAGCTTGGTGTTGCTTAGCAATGGTGTCTTGTGCTGCTTGGCCAATTAGCTGGTGGCAGCTGTAATACAAAGACTAGGTGCAAGTGAGGCAAAGGTGGAGGAGTAGAGGCGAAATCCTTGGGGATTAATCAGGGATCAGAACATTCTTGAAGAAATGAGGAATAATTGAGCAAACCAAGGGACTCTGCCTTGCCAGGCTTTCCCTTGCTGCCTTTGATATAACTAATTAATATGAATAAAAATAGCATCTAATGACAGGAACTAGGATATAAATGATAATGTTGCCCCAGTGCCCTGTAGTCCTGCCCTGCAGATCTCCTCCTTTTCAGATCAAGGCCTTTACCCACTGCTTTGTAGACTCCCTCAGTCTTGACCTGCAGGCACTTTGCTTTTCATTCTTTCCCCTTCCTGCCTCACACTACTTTGCCAACACTTCTCTGCCTCTACTATATCAGTCCTGGAGCCTCTTTAGAACAGAGGATATGGATCATGCTGAACTATGTGCACTAAGCTCAGTTCACTGTTTAACTACCTTAGCATTTAGACCCTAAATGTTCAGAAGTGAAAAACCAGTGCATGGGACTACCCATCCTCTCCCTGGCCTCCAGAGGGCCACCCAACCTCTCTAACATTATATTAACCTAGAGTTGATCTTAACTAAAGTGCTTGGGGGCTTTTTGCAAAGTAGCTTCCCCTCTGAGCAAGGGAATTGATTTGCTCAGTGGAAGCTCTTCTGATTTCAAGGATGTGGTACAGATGCTGTGGGATGAATTGGGGATAGGTGTCAGATGGACCACCTTGGCATCTAGAGTGTTTGCCTTCTACCTGCCTGGGTCTCTGCCACTTCCATAGCTCTATGGTGGCCCTCAGAACTTGGCTTTCACTCTTGGCTGAGTCTAATTTAGTTGTGGATAGTAGCAGGTGGAAATCATGGCCTTATGGAAAACCTCCCTTAGGTTGTGCCGGTGAGTTGATCTGTTCAGGTCCTGGTACATAGCACAAAACCTGCCATCTTTGTCAGCAAAGGAACCAATTAGTGCTGATAATCTCAGCAAAAACCAAGGACTGGGTGAGCTGTGGAACCTGGATTCCTTTGGCACTGGTCTTTCTAGGCCAGGTCCTTGGACAGTGGGGTGGGAGGAAGCTGGCTGTGCTGTTGCTTGGGTGGTGGCTGCTCTGAGATTCCAAGGCTGTCAGTCTGGCCCCTTCACTGTTGATTGGAAAGACTGTGCCATTGAAATTTGAGTCTGCTGAAGACCTGGGTAATCCTGCTCTGAGCAAAGCCTGGGTCGGAAAGTTGCCTGTGCTGCAGACCTGCCTGTGGTTTGACAGCTGTTCCCAGCAGCCTCTGCAAAACCCTGACCTTTTGCCTTGTGTCTCCATGGCCTCATTAACCTCTGTCATGCAGCTTCTGATGGTTTGTTGACTCATGCAGAAAGGACTGCACTTGTTGGAGTTCTGCCATGCTGCACTCTCCCTTCTTGGCATTCAGGACTTAGATGAATCAGGATTTGTGCCTTGGCATAACCAGTGGCTAGTGCAACAAGTTAGTGCTGTGTGAGGGCTCTATTCCATGGCCTGCGTTTCCTTCAAGCCTTAGGCTGCAGAGAGGGGAAGGTAGTGAAGCAAATTTGGGCTAGTATAAGAAGGCAGAACACCTTCGGCAGGTGTAGGACCTGTGCCCACCTTGCTGTTGGAAAGGCTGCACTAAGTGTCAGATGTCTGCCATCGGTGTGATTGGCTCCAGGGGACTGAGGGTGGCATACTTGCCCCTTCTCTAGGGTGCTGGTCTCACTTCAGCTGTAGGTATATAGCAAACAAAGGTCTTCACTGTTTGTTGGCTGAGCTTGTGGGGTCTCAGTACAAATCTCCAGTCATCAGACAGTCCAACATCAGACCTAGTACTAATTGCTCCCCTTGTGGGATCTCTCCATCTCCCAAGAGATTTAACTACTTTTCAGCTCTTCTACTAATCCTTCTCTTCAGGAGTGTGGTGCCCTGGGAGGTGGCAGTATATAGGTGCCCAGTATGGGTAAACAAAGACCGTCAGTCACTGAGTCATCTTTCCCTCCTCTTTTCCTACTGATGCCACCCCTGATTACAAGCTGCTCCCAGAACTATTGTCTTGTCATTTCCATACCATAGCATCCAAAAAACCATTAGTCTCTTCAATTAAATCCCACTGTTATGGCTTGCTTCGTAGCAAACCTACAAGCAATGGACCAATTATCAGTGTCTCCATAGTGAGTGATGAGGATAGCTGGTGATTGGTTGTTTCCTGCTTCTCTGCCACCGTTTGTGTGCTGCTTACTTTTAGATTGCAGGCTTCATGGGGTGGGGACTGTTTGCCTGTAAGTTTGGATAGGGCAGGGTGTGTTGTGGGTGCTAGTGGAGTGCAAACAACACTGCACTTGCTACACTAATTTGTGCTCTGCAGCTAAATCAGAACCTCTAAATTATCCACTGTGTCAATCGGGGAGGTAGGAGACCTCTGACAGCACCAGTCCTGGAGCCTGTTGGGACCAAATGGGGACATAGTCATTAAGAAACAATTAAATGCAAAGCAGATTAAGAAGAAAATGGGTTTCCAAGGGGCTCTTAGCTAGGTTCCCACTTAGCTCCAAGGAAACTTCTTCAATCTTAGTTTCTTTTTCTGTCCCTCATGGGTTGCTTGTGCTACTAATATTCTCAGCCAGGTAGTTCCTAGCACCTCTTTATGGCCAGCAAATTGGGGGGTTATTAATGCATTCCAAGAGGCAGTGGTATGAGCTGGGATGTAGTCTTGCATCCTTTGATTTGGTAGCTTAGGTTTGATGCTCTCATATTCTTTTGCTTCATAAGATTGGGGCACTACCTTGCTGAGGAATCATGTCAGCAACAGACAGAAAGAAGCTACAGTCCCTCTGCTTCTCCAGATGGGCATATCAGCAGCAAAGTTTCATACCTACCAAAGCAGCCTTTGCAAATCATTCACTACCAGTGTCTTTGTAAATGGGTGGACCCTAATTTTCTTCTCAGTCTGTCAGGAGGATTTCATGGGTCTACTGGCCCTTTCCTGAAATTGCTGCCAGTACTGATTGAATGATGCTGAGGTTATTTGGCCATCTTTAGCCTTTGAAATGCTGTAGGATATATGGGCATGTCCAATGCTGGGAGTATACAAGAAGACCAGTGCCTTCACAGGTTTTTGTCAGGTTTATATGGCCCTGGAAATTCTTCCTGCTTCACTGTTACTCATGGGAATGTGCCCTAAAGTGGACATTTCCTTCTGCTTGTCCCAAGGTAGCTCCCCAATCCCTTGTCTATAATTCATTATGGGGTGGAGATGAAGGAATTTAGCTCAGTCCTCTACCAAGCTGAAGATTTATGTGGAATTTTCCCCTTAACCCTTTCCTCCCCTCTCTCAATAGCTCTATTTTTTTCAGTTTTCGAATCCCTCCGGAATACTGTCTCTAATCTTTCTTTTATCTATTCTATAGCATTCTTTCAATGTCCATGGCAACAGCATCTGGGCACCACTGTTGGAATTCTGTAAACTGATGAGGTTGCTTTTATGAAGGTCCTACCTTCAAATCAAAAGAAGTTATGGAGCACAAAGTTTGTATTAGGGGTGCATCAAAGTGCTTTTAAGTGGGTAGCAGCCAGAAATGTTTCCTTTTGCAGGTTTTCTGTACCAGTGGGCACAGCTGGAAGGCTCAAACAGGACACTTCATGATACTTCAGCTTAATGTAAAATACGGTTGCTGAGAGAATGGATGCCATTACTTGCCAATGGGGAGGTGGTGGCAGCAGGTACGAGGGAAGGATGCCTTGTGAGCTATAAAGAATCCATCCTTGAGTTATCTTTGTTGCTTTTGGAAATGCTTTGTCAGTGAAAGCCATTCAGGGAGGTTAATTACCTTCCTACCCTTTGAGAGTCAAACTGGGATGTTTTCCTTACTCAAGCTTCTGGTTATTGGGTTGTCAGTACATGGGCAATTAGTTGGAAGCTGCAACTTTCTGCTGTCACCATTTGAAATGCAAAGCCTGTTCCTGGCAGCTGTGGTGTTTGCCTCTGAACATGAGGTGGGTGTTTACAAAGAAGGTATTTTGGTGAGGAGAGGGGTCCAGCTGAAGAAGCCTTCTCTCTCTCCAAAGCATGTGAGTGCTTGGAAAGAAAGCCTAAACATTTTGGACAGCTCAGTCAGGAGAGAGGACCATACACAGAGGCTCTTGTGATTCAGCAATACTCTGCATACTGAGTTATGGATAATTTAGTGATGGTTCAAAATCCCAATCTGAGGACCTGCTCCTGCTAAGTCTAGGGAGTCTAGGGAGCTCTCCGTGGTGGGGACTTTGTGATTACTGGCCCCTTACACAGATATCCTCACTTAGGGACTGTCCCCATGACCTCCTGGCATCTTTCTTGGAGGGTGTGATGTAAGTTCATGGCCCATGTCAGCTGTTGACAGTGTTCACTAGAGCACTAGTGTTTTTTGTGATGTGGTCACCCGTCAATAACGAACTGATCAGAGGCCAGTTAAATTAATTTTCTGTGAGACACTGAATAGCCACTAAATGGCAGTCTCTCTCTATCCCTGAACAGAATTGGAACCAGTGACAGAAAAA